AAAACATCAGTGTGTTACCAACATTCTTCTCATACTAAATCCAAAACACAGCGCTGTGCTAGCTACTGTGAAGAAAATTAACTCTATCCCAGCTGAAACCAGGACAAGAGGGAAGGAACTGGGCATCCCTCGCGTGGCGAGGTGGCAGGCCCCCGGTGTGGCTTTGCAGGGAGGAGGGGGGCTGTGGGTTCACAGCGTGGTGGGCACGTCGCCTCGGGGCTGCAGGGGCCCCCTGTGACTCCCTTGCTCTCTGCAGGCCGATGTGTTCGCGTACGGCATCATCCTGTGCGAGACCATCGCTCGCATCCCCGCTGACCCTGACTACCTGCCCCGCACCGAGGTGACTCCCTGGGACGGGGACAGGGAGGGAGGGTGGCAGGCAGCGGCACCGGGGCTGGGACCGCTTCACCAAGTGAAGGGGACCACCCTCCTGTGCTGGGCAGAGCCCCATGTGCAGGAGCAGCCCCGCGTCTCAGGGTGGGGGTGCTGTGTCCCAAATGCTGCCCCGGGAGGGATGCGCTCTGCCGGTAACCTGTCCTGGGAGCCCATAGTCAGTCTGGGTGGGAGAAGGGGACAGCTGGATTCAGGCAGAGAGCAGGAGGGCTCTGTGTCCCAGCATCCCCCAGCCTTGGGGTGACCGCAGGTTAGCCCCTTTGCTGTGCCCCAGCCGGGGTACTGCCAGGTCCATAGGAGGGGCAGCCAGTGCATCCCAGGTCCCCCAGGGATGTGCAGTGCCCCAGGGGACCCAAGCTCACTCTTCCTCCTTTCCCTGGTGCAGGATTTTGGTCTGGACGTCACCGCTTTCCGTACCATGGTGGGAATCGACTGCCCGGTGGCCTTCCTCCAGCTCGCTTTCCACTGCTGCAGTGTGAGCCTCCCGTCACCGCTGCTCCTCCCTGCCAGGGCAGCCGGGCAGGACAGGCAGCCTTGCCTGCACGGGTGGGGGGGGGAGGCAGGGAGCTACCGTTGCTGGGCAGGGCTCCCTGGGGTGCTTGGGGGGGAGGGGGTCACAGACCTTACGAGGAACCCCTCCTGCCCACAGATGGACCCCACCTCCCGCCCCTCGTTCCTGGAAATCACGCAGTGCCTGGAGGGCATCCTGCAGCACCAGCTGGGCGCCGAGGGCGCCGGGGCCACCCTCTTCGGTGTCGGGGAGAGCCTGCCCACGCCTGGGATGGCAGCTACGCTCAACGGTACGTGGGTGCCCTGGGGACAGGCCACAGGGGGGTGCAAGCAGTGGGGATGTGGGGTGTCCCATCCTACCCCGGCAGGGGAAGGAGACAGGGGTTGCATGAGGTCTGCAGGATGGAGCCGGTCGCTATTACCCGGTGCAATGCTACAGGCTTGGGGAAGAGTGGCTGGGAAGTTGCATGGAGGAAAAAGTCCTGGGGGTACTGGTTGACACCTGGCTGAATATGAGCCAGCAGTGTGCCCAGGTGGCCAAGAAAGCCAATGGCATCCTGGCTTGTATCAGG